AAGCCGGTCTTCCTGCTTTTGTCTCAATACCACTAGAGGGTAGGATATAGGATATAATGTATTAAAATGTTTTGGAGGTCCATATGTATGGAACACAAGATATCTCTCGGAATACCCGAAGGACACAGGAAGATTGGGAAGATCTCAGTCAATAAAGGTGCAGTCTACAGACACTTAAAATGAATCAAAGTCATCTGAATTTTGTAAAACGTTACCCTTAAACGAAAATTCAAGAAACGTCAATACAGTTATTCCATATATATTCTTTTCTAAAACGGTGAGCACAATCCCTCCATTAAGAAAAGAGTTCAGCCCATACAAGGGAGCAAAACAAAAGGATAAAGTCAAGCAAAAAGGACGAAGACGTAACAGCCCAAAGCCTCAACAGAAGAAAGACCTCGAACGATGCGGGCGGTCAACCTCTAGGGATTCGAATAAGAAATGAGATTTGTTGCACTTTTGGTTCCACAGGTTTGAAGATTTGAAATCCATCAAAAAAGAGCAATAAAAACACCAAATTCTTGGAATTTTTCACGTACACTTGCTATATAAGGGGAATGCTACTTTGAAACGGGCCAATGAGAATGGCCAGATGAAACGCCATCATTAAGTCACAAATAGGTTGAATTGTTCGATTCATCAAATGTTACAAAAGACCATAGACAACTGTACGCATATGGTTCTNCCGACATGCTGAATATATGAGTCTGTAAACAAGGGTGAAGAGCTTTTTGGTCTACGGGATTCCAGGGAATGAAAGGCAACAGCCCTGCTCGCTGCACCGACAAAAGTACTACCATGATGTAAAAGTAGTAAGTTGAAAAAATGGTATGTGGGTTAGAAATAGAGCTCGTCACAAGTTTCCTCGTAACACATACAATTGTGGTTTTACATGTTTTCCTGACTCCCTTTTTCCTTTCCCATGGGATTAGTCGTGGGTTGACATATAGACAAAGAATAATCCATCTTTTGTCTCCCTGACACCTCTAGGTAAGCATACTCTAACCTCATTCTCCTTCATCTCCCGTTTGTCTTGGTTCCGTATCGGCAGCCGGGCCCGTCTAGCCGAACTTGCCTAGGATAACCTTTTCAGTTTTGGAAAAAAGTCTAAGAAACCCCAGCAAAAACTGATCGAAGAATCACATACCTAACAAAAACTTTATTATTATTAGGCTAGCCATCCGCTATGCTATACAATCGACTAATACAGTACTTACATGGGTAAGAATATCCTGGTACCTTGTGAATAGACCACGTATGGAAAATAACACATTATCTTTCGCGAACTAATTCTTCAAAATAAAAAACAATAGCTATTCCTAATCCCAAATGACGTCACATGAACACACCTGCATGCATGAAATAACAACAAACTTTTTTTAAAATAAATACACTGATTCCTAGCCTAACTCCTATCTAACAAATCATCTAACGAATATTCTAAGGGTAGCGCTTATTTCCAACGATCAGCCATTGGAAGCAAGGGCTCGTTACTTCTCCCAATGATAGGTTGCAGAGGCCCCCTGCCCACCTTTCAGCACAATATTTTCTATGGAAATTGCGTGAAGGTCAACAATTGAGACAGCGGAATCATTAGTCGATCTAATGACGTCAAACAATTAGTTATACTGCATAAAAAGGAGATCTGCGAGGTCGGGTGGACTTCCAACAATAAATGAATCGTCAACTTAAAGATGAAACATCTGTGATATAAATACTAAAGTCTCAATAAACTACAGGAATAACAAAAAACTTTCCTATTGCAGATTGTTTATGAGCATATCTGCCCATTCAACCAGAATCTGATTCACTAAGCTGCTATTATTTGGGCATAAGCCCTGCAGAAACGCTGTATGACCACCGCCACGAGTCACTACACCAACAACCATCTCGCTTTCTTTCATCTCTTCCGTTGGAATTGCTGAATAAAGAAGAATTTTCCTGAGCTAGCTCCTCAGTAAAGTATTTAGGAAAGAAAAAGC